CTGCTACAAGATTCTTTGCTCATGTGGTCGATGTTATGTTGGTGAGACATGCCGACCTATTCGACAAAGAATGGTAGAACATAAAAATTCTTGCAAAGGTCAGAAGTGGCCAAACACATTGTAGATACTGGACATGAAATAAGATGGTCTGAAACTAGTGGTTTGCTGATTATGGTATGTCTGTGGTCAAAAGCAGGATAAAATAGGCTATTGAAATTAATAGCTTAGGAAATACGTTGAATGTGAAGAACTGTGGTAGAAATTTGAGTAGGAACTAATTATGCTCGATTGATAGATTGAAAGAGAGAGGGTTAAATGTTAATGACCCCGGACCGAGAGGTTAGAACAAGTGGTTTCGAAACTTGATTTTCATGTTTACAAACTCATATCTGACTATCTAAACCATACTTGCTTACGGACTTACGCAGTCTCGGTCTAGGCTCTCTCTTGGGTCACTAGGCGTTGATGATCAGAGCCTGAGATTAGCCTTTTGAGAACTATGATTTAAGAACGGTATTGCGTATAGACGCTAACACGCCCGCATACACACACACACACACATGAGCAAAAGTAGCAGAACCAGTATTTAGGATAATTAACCAAACCCCTCTACTATCTATCTATCTATCTATCTATCTATCTATCTATCTATCTATCTATCTATCTATCTATCTATCTATCTATCTACCCGTCTATCTATCTACCTATCTAGCCATCTGTCTATCTATATATCTAGTTATCTAGGTTTTTAATTCTTTCGAATTAATTGAGTCTACATAAGAGGTAAGATAGAGCCGGATAGTGTTCCTGGCCTAGCGTTAATATGATAATGTACAAGAATGACACCCAAATCTGATGATATCCATCACATAATGGACGAAAGCTCAGCCCGTTTTCACCAAAAACGAGGGAGGAAATCTTGTGGACTGCGACAACATGTACATCGTATAAAAGCCGAACGGCTGCAGTAAAACCAGATTCATCCGTCTTCATCAGGTGAGATTGACCAACGAATATCTTCTCATGCACTTTCATACAAAATGAAAGTCCCCCTAACAATTTAATTATTAGCTTTTTTTTAATTCGGTTCGTATATTTTTGCTTTGTTTGTGCAGTCAACTGGGATATTCCCCAGGCTTGATAATAAATTTTATTCAGTTTTTTATATATTCCAATGTGTAGAGTGATGAAAATGCTCTGAAGTAGCATTGCTTGAACGTCATAGTGTAGAGGTTTTGCCTGATATTTTAATTATGTTAATTCCTTCCTGAGTATAAAACCTTTTGCAATTGATGAGATTGTATTTAATGCTTATGGATTTGTTAGTTTCTATGATTCACGTTAGTCATAGTTACTAGTATTCTTTGAGTTAGTTGAGTCACATACGTTTAGAATGTGTTTTTAATGTTTTGAGTGTTTTGTTAGCTCAAAAATCACAGTTTTGGGGATTTATATCTGCTCTATTTTTTTAGCGAAGAAAATCTCCCTGGTCCAAATAAATAATTCCATACATAGCAAAATTCACCTGAGACCTAGGCAGACATATCCATAGAGTATGCATGCATGTCAACACCAAAAATGCATGCGTACAAAGTGTGTTAAGAACAATTCCAGCGTGATGCCTTTGCTACACAAAGCAATACACCATTTCTTATTTTGTCCCATTCCAATTTATCACAGTCCCTTTAATTCTGGCAGAAAATATTGCTCTTTATTCACCATTAATTACCTCCAAAAGGTCAATGGCGAGACTGGAGACAGTGCTTGAATGGTCGAGTACAAGCCTAACTACCGGTTCCACACACCAGCCGGCCAGGTGTGGCAGACGCAGGCGGAAGAAGACACGAATCAACTGGATAAGGTAGAGCTTGGTGGTCTAGGGGATGAGGGAAAAAAGGAAAAATTAACGAACATAATCACTTAAAATGGCATTAAATAAATGATGTAGCGTAACAGAGAAGTTTTTTAAGAAAAAAGTTTTTTCGCCCTATGTCGTTTAAGACGAGGAAAGGTAGATTGTTATGAAACCCACAATGAAATGTGCACAGTCCCCACAATACTATTGAATATCACTTGGCCTTGACATTCAGAAGATTTCCTCATTCGGGCTAGACTGCATTTTCGTCCTCGTCTGGGTCTCATCACCACCTCCAACTGGGCTCAAAACCAAGTCAAGTGTGTCAAGAACGAAACGTCAACATCCCACCCCATAGCTGATAATTCGCTGGACAGATGCAACATTCAAGGCAAACCAAACGTCTCTCAATTCAAAATGTTATAGTGTGACTATTGTTGCTGAGCAATACTAATATTTGCTATTACAATATACAAGATTACATTTAGGTGAGTGAGTGGTATTTGGAACTATCACTAGATAATGACTAAGAACTTGAGACTATTAAGGTCACTTAAAGTTGCTCAAGGCTAAATTAAATGTGGGTGATTATTTAAACATTGTCTGTAGTAACAATGTCGTGCTCTACAACAAAAATCCCACAACTATTGTGAATCGCTGTGAGAGAGTGATAACTTGTTGCCACTTGATACACTACCTTTAAGTGAATAAGTAGTATTCGAAAGTAAAAATAAATAGCTAATAATAAAATTGATCCATTTATGGGCTTAATGAGATTAGGTGGCATTCAACAGAATCGTAAGGCCCTATTCTCAACTCACTGTAGCTATTTTAACTACCTAGGATGAATCAAGTTGTAAACAATATTTTTTCGAGATATAACAGCCTTGCAAGAAGTCTATAAATCTCATTTCGTTTAAATTATCCCAACTAACTTCTACCGCGCCAAGTCAGTTAAATATGCTATAGGCATCACGACCTCGGCGGGTAGAAAAAACAGGCTAAATCGTCAGAAAATAGTTTCATAACAGCCTTCCCTATTCTCTTGCCTCATCCCAAAGTCAGGATCCCGTAAAGAAGACCACATTAGCATGGAGTAGCGAAAATAAGGCTAGGCAGACAGGAAGGTATCTCAACGCTGGAGAGGTATTCACCCTATTTCGTCTTAGGTGATGAAGGGATGATAGTTAAATTTTCCCATAATCATATCAGCATACTGTACGCTTCCATTGAATTTCGCATAGTCTTACCTCCAAAAAGGTTTTCTCGTCCAGTTTCGGCCTCGTCTAGGCCTTATCAACAGCCCAGCGGGACTCGAACTGTGACAGTGCGGCGTATAATCTTGAAACATTA